CCAACAACACATCACCAATATATTATCACCACCACATCACCACCACAAGCACCACGATACCATCACCACTACAATCACCACCATACCATCAACACCACATCACCACTACATTCAACACATCACCATCACATCAACACCACACCAACACAACTCCGTATATAAAACACTTGTAATGACTGTTGACAAATCAATTTCTCCTCTTGGGGGCGAATGACTCATTACGTAGATGATTTTGATAATTTTTTTTTTCTTCATGAGTTAAACAATAACAGACACTAGCAGGAGCCTTGAGGAACTCCAGTCGTACGTGACGCGTGTGTGTGTACGTGAGGTAGTGGCGCTATTGCTTCAGTCTGCCTCTCTCTCTCTATTTCTTTGTTTCATTATCTATATTTACCTTTCTATCTTTCTCTATATATATTTATCTTTCTATCTGTCTATCTATATCTATTTGTGTTTCTGTCTGTCTATCTATATCTATTTGTCGTTCTATTTGTCTATCTCTATGTACATGTTTTTATCTTTCTCTGTCTATCGATCTGTGACCAAAGTTCCCAACCCGTGAACTCAGTAACTTTGCGTCTTGAAAAAGATTATTTGAATCACTCACAGTAACTCTTCACTAAGATCATAATAAAAGTTTGAGTAATCGGCACACCTGGACTGACATTACGTGTATTGCAACAACCTCAGCACACCAGTAGTAATAGGCACGAGGTTAAGGATTTTCATCTGTGTTTTACATTTTACTTGATGATTTAGTCAGGTGGTGGTCGTAAGAGTGAAGAAAGAGCGTCTTGTTGTGAGTTCATAGCATGTAAGAGGTGTGTTATGTGGTAAGGTTACACTACAGTAGGGGCTTGTCGTGTGGTAAGCTCACAACATTGGCGGAGTTTATATTAATCATGATATGTTATCTACTGTTAGGGGTTACTTGTTTCTGGTTTTACTGGTTACTGTGATAAGTATGTTAAGTGCATCCTGATGGAAGGAGGAATAGGGATAAAGAAAGGGGGGAGAAGGGGAGTAAAGAGTGGTAGATAGGGATGAGAGAATGTGTAAAGGAGTAAGACAAAATAAAGCAAGAAAGAAGAAATGAAGAAAGAAGGATGAAGGGAAAAAGGGGGGAGGCTGGAAAAAAGAAAGCGGTGAGTGAGAGAGGGAGGTATGAAAGTAGAAAGCCTGTGAGTGGGGTAGACAAAGAGAGAGAGAGAGAGAGAGAGAGAGAGAGAGAGAGAGAGAGAGAGAGAGAGCTGACGGTCGACCTCTGTATAACCTTGATTAGCGAGAGACACCCCCGGACTCTAACTGTACCTCAAGTAAGGAAGTTTCACAAGCACGTTAATCCGTATTTGAGTCACCGTTTTTTTTCCCCTAATCCCAAGAAATCCACGATCGATCTTCAACACTTGACTCTTACACGATTTTGATTTTACAATTGTATAATTACTGAAAACAAAATGGCCATGGATGCTTGACTTTCACGACACCAGGGTAAAAATATGTTAAAAGATCATCAAAACTGAAAAATATTGTAGAGCTTGTAAAATTCGCTTCAATTATAGGGTAGATAATTTAGTAACGTTAATTATTGATTTGAAAGGTTAACGTGATAGACAGGTTTAATACAATGATGATTATGTTATGTCATGACGATGTTCAACACTGGGGGAATTATCAGGCTAGAACAGGGATATCAGCTGTGACCTACACGATTAATAGAACCTTATGAACACAGCCTCAGTGAGAGAACAAAATGGACTTGAGAAGATCAGTTGTTTAAGGAATACACAGAACCTGCCAGAAACCTTCACAGTAAGAGAACACATTGAAACCTTCAGAATTACGGTGAGATAAAGCATTGAACCTTCGCAGCCTCAGAGAACATCAGAGAAAGAACAAATGAAACCCCCGACAACCTCAGCGAAAGAGAACATTGAACCCCCAAAATCTCAGACAAAAACAAATGAACCCCAGAACTTTAGTGACAGAATAAATGAACTCTCCAAAAGCTCAGTGAGTGAATGCAGAGAGAACATTAAACCTAATAACCTTAGTGAGAGAACAGACATTAAACCCTTAGCTCTGGGGCTTTAGATTATTCATGTTAAATCCCGAGCCAATCAAGGTAGTGAACGAGTCATGAGGACTGAACTGGTCAGGCAGGCTGGCTGACAGGGTTGGCTGACTGTCAGGTATTGAGCAGGTTATTAAGCAGGCAGGACCAACAGCAGAGGTAACAATAGCGACATCAACAGTAGATAAACGAGCAGGTTAGCGCCCACGTAGGCAGTCCAGAAGCATAATTTAAGCAGCAGAAGTAGGAAAGAAATGAGATCAGCAGTAATAGGCGACCACTGCCAGCAGCAGGTACCCGGGGTGGCTGGCGTCAGGTGGGGTGAAAGTAGTAAAGCGAGTGTTGGTCGGCCGAGGTTTCGCCACTCTCAACTCTTGTTATTTCAGTATCTTCGTCGTCGCCGGTGCCGGATTTATGTGGGTGACCGTTAGGAAGCCGGCAAGATACACAGGGCGACAGGAGCGACCGTTAGTTGTCTTATGGAACAGAAAAGACTTAGGAGGATCTGTGAATCCTTCCAGAAAGGATGTGGACCTTCCAGGATTGGCAGGTGTGTGAAGCACCAGCAGATGTGTGAAGCACCAGCAAATGTGTGAAATACCAGCAGATGTGTGAAGTACCAGCAGATGTGTGAAGCACCGGCAGATGTGTGAAGCACCAGCAGATGTGTGAAATACCAGCAGATATGTGAAGCACTAGCAGATGCATCAAGCACCAACAAATGTGTGAAGCACTAGCAGATGCGTCAAGCACCAACAGATGTGTGAAGCACCGACAGACGTGTGAAGCACCGGCAGATGTATCAAGCACCTACAGATGTGTGAAGCACCAGCAGATGTGTGAAGCACCAGCAGATGCATCAAGCACCAACAGATGTGTGAAGCACCAGCAGATGCATCAAGCACCAACAGATGTGTGAAGCACCAGCCGATGCATCAAGCACCAACAGTTGTGTAAAGCACCGTTAGATCTGATTACATCGCTTACATAAAGCAAACAAAAACCAGCGCCCATTTTTTCCCTAGAGATCAAGTGGACTGCAGCCGGTAGTGGTGGCAGACTTTTGTTCTTACATAAAAGGATCACGAATAAGACCCAACACCTCCTGACATTTCGTTCTAGTTTGTCTTTAAAGAGCGAATACGAGAGAGAAAGATCTAGAGAAAGGGAGAGAAGATATCTTAACTAGTACATTACAGGGATAGAAACAGAGAGAGAGAGAGAGAGAGAGAGAGAGAGAGAGCGTTATGATTTATGAATCTTTAAGTTATATCTCGTCTCTTCATCCCAACCTAAAGTACCTAATCACCTATTACCTGTCCTCTCCCTTCTTCCCTCTCGCCCTACCTACACCGCACCCCCCCTACCTCCCCCCCTCTTCACCTCTCTCTCACTCCCCACCATCACCCTCCCCTCACCTGCACATTTACCCCCCTCAGATAGATACTCCTGCCTACCAGCCCCCCAGACCCCAGCTCCCCCAAACACCACCCCTTAACCAAACCACTCCCTCCTCCCTTGTTCTGATACCGGTTCTTGCTTGGTCCTCCCTCAGGACACCTGGAAGTTGACGAAGATCCACTTCTTTCCTTTTTCATCACTCCTGTAATCCTCCTTCTCTTTCCTATCCTTCCATGTCATTCCCCATCCATCTATCCATTCCCAACACTCCTCTTATCCACTCCATTCCCTTCCCTTTTCTTTCCTCTCCACCCACTCTTCCTTAACCTTACTCCTCCCCTTCTCCCAATATCTCTCCCTCCTCCTCCCGCTACTTCCTCCTCCTCCTCCCGCTACCTCTCCCTCCTCCTCCTCCCTTGGTATTGCCGGTCGTCATCAGCCGGCAAAGCAGACCTTGGAAGGCCCGTAAGGGAAAGTCCCCACAACAGACGGCCTCATCAACACCTTCTTCCACCTGACGTGCTTCGTGGTCACGCCTGGCGAACCTCATTGTTGTGGTTCTGTGACTCTTTGTTGCTAGTGGTTCTCCATGAGATTATTTTCCAGGGTTTTCTTTTCTACTGGAGTCTTAAGAACGTCTGGAGGTGATGGTTCAGAAATCACATGGTGTTTTTTTTATGTCCTTGTTTCATGTCCTCATTCCTCTATTCCTTCTTTTTTTCCCATAATTCCTTTCCCTTATTCCTACGTGCCTCCCTTCCTTCCTTCCTTCCCCCCCTCTCTCCCTCAATCCCTTTCTCTCCCCTCCCTCCCCCACCTCTCTACCCTCACAAGTTATTGCTTAAGAATCTTGCGACCATTGGGAGAAATGACTCGTAAGTGACATCATCAATAGGTGAGGTAACCACGTCCGAAAATCACGTCAATTACCAACCAACCACTCTAACAACATCATTCAACTACGTCCATCAGCCAACCACGTCAAGTAGTTGTATCAATCGGACATGTCAAACAGTTCCACTAATCAACCACGGCAGTTAATGTAGAACAGTCAGCCGACCACTACAATTCACCACTTTGATATTATTATTTTTTCCTAATATCAACAAAATATTGACATAGAAAGATAAAATCTGAATGAAAATAGAAAGAAGAGGAAGATGAATAAGAACAAAGTAAAAAAAGGACGAAGAGGGTGAAAACAAATAAAATGGAATAAACTAGGTACAGAAGGAGTAAAAGAGGAAGAAAGGAACTAAGAAAGAAAATGATGAAGTGTAGACAAAGAAGAAGAAGGAGGCGATGAATTAGAAAACAAGAAGAAGAAGCAGCCAACTGACCTGAGTTTCAGTGGAGAGAGGGACCTGACTTATTCTAGTGACCTTTAAGTTAAAAAAAATAATAATAATATATCCCACAGTGTTGATGTAGCAAGATCCCGGTGAGTTGACGTGGGTGTGGGCGTTGATGTGGGTGTGGGTGTTGATGTGGGGGTGAGAGTTGATGTGAGTGTGGGTGTTGATGTGGTATGTGAGGGTGAGCATTGATGTGAGTGTGGGCGTTGATGTGGGTGTGGGCGTTGGTGTGGGTGTTGATGTGGGGGTGAGAGTTGATGTGAGTGTGGGTGTTGATGTGGTATGTGAGGGTGAGCATTGATGTGAGTGTGGGCGTTGATGTGGGTGTGGGCGTTGATGTGGGTGGGGGCGTGGGTGTAGACATTGTTACTGTGGATTTGACGTGGCTGCAGGTAATGATATTTGACGTGTTTGTGGGGGTGAAATTGACCTGGATGGGGTTTAAGAGGTTGACGTAGGTGTAAATAAGGAACTAAAGAAAATTACGAAAGAGGGAAAAGGAAGACAACGTAAGATGGAAGAGATAGACGTAGAACAGAAACGGGGAACAAGACACAATGAAGAAGGCAATAAACTGAAGAAAAGATGTGAGAAGAAGTGCACAAGAGAACGAAAAGATAATTAAGATAGTCGATAAAGGTAGACTAAAGGCATAGAAGAAACAATATAATGGATCAGGGAAAGAGAATGAAAATAAAAGAGAGAACTGGATGAAAAATACAGTAGAAAACGAGAGAGAAAAAGACGACGCAACAATGTAAAGAATTGAAACGACAGAAAATGACAGAATTGAACAGTAAAAAAACACAAAAGCGGAAAACAGACATGGAAGAGGTCTTAAAGAAAAGGAAAAAAAAAGATGCAAGGAAACACAATTAGGAAATAATAGAACAAGGCAAAAAATGGTTGTAGTTGTACTTACTGCGTCGGTACACTGGATCACATCGCGACAGTCAGTAACCGCGAGCCTGAACCACTCTCCGGCACCCTTGTCAGAGCACAGCGCTAAAGCAAAGGCCTCGGCTTCATCCCCTGCGCCTTCAGCTTGTCGCTTCACAATATTGGCCGCCGCTAAGAGGAGGTGAGAGAGAGGTGGGTTAATATGCCATCACCAAACACACTAAATGGATATAAAATTACAACAAAATCTTGAAAATATAATGAATGAATTAAATAATACAAAATCCTATACCTAAATGAGATGAATAACGCATTCATTCAATAAAACAATAATCGAAAAGTAAAATAAATTGAACAAGCAAATATAGTTTTGAAACGCTTCAGTCATTCGGAGAAATTTGGGAATAAATGGTGAAAAAAATCGAAAAAGAAGAAAAACTAATTTGTCGTTGGTTCTTGGTCACTATCATGTGAGACTATTCATAGTAAATTATTCATAAACATAAGATACTATTTATAAGCATAGGAGACTATTGATAAACAGGAAACTACTCACAAACACTGGAGACTACTCATAAACATAGGAGACTATTACTCACAAACATAGGAGATTATTACTCACAAACATAGGAGACTACTCACAAACATAGGAGGTTACTCACAAACATAGGAGGCTACTCACAAACATAGGAGACTACTCACGAACATAGGAGGCTACTTACAAACATAGTAGATTACTCACAAACATAGGCGTTTACTCACAAACATAGCAGACTATTCACAAACTCAGAGACTACTCACAAACGCAGAGACTACTCACAAACATAGGGAACTACTCACAAACACAGAGACTACTCACAAACATAGGAGACTACTCACATACATAGGTGACTACTCATAGACTACTCATAAGCATTTGGACTTGAGCAGCACACGTGGTTAAGCCTCACTGTTATATTCTTAAAAAAATAAATAATAATATTGCTTCTGGACCTTTGGTGGACGTTATGTGAAGTTTTGTGTTGATATTCAATTAATTTTGCTATTAAGGGGAAATTCGACATTGTAATTTATAACGTATGAATAGATTATGAAATTTGTTTGGTTGCATTTATGTTAGAGAAACAAATTCGTATTGTAACGTTATCGTGTCTCGCTTGGTCCTCTGTATGAAGTAAATTTGACTCGTTTTTACGTCTTCTCGTTCGCTTAATCTGGTGGAAAATAGTGTATGTTTCGTTTAGTGTTTCCTTTCCTTCAGATATTGTAAGAGGGGTAAGTGTGTGAGAGAGAGAGAGAGAGAGAGAGAGAGAGAGGAAATTTGGGTCAAAAGCAGAAAGAATTTTAACCCCCTTAGAAAGTTGTGGTGGTCATTGCGTCCCGGTTACTACTGTGAGGGCTTCTCTCTCTCTCTCTGGCCGAAAAATTTGGTCCCTCAGATTTTCCCAAGAGGACTTCGAATACCCGTGACATGTGTGAGAAGACTGAGTACATCTAGAGAGGTTTTTTTTTTTTTAAGTAGAAGTTTTTCTGTGTGTAAGTTTCATATGAAAAGTAAGTCAATATATGGAAATGTTTTTGACGGAGAAGTTACATAATTTTGAGGATTTTTTTAGATGGATTATTTGTTTTGAATACCCGTTTGAGAAGAGTGTGTGTGTGTGTGTGTGTGTGTGTGTGTGTGTGTGTGTGTGTGTGTGTGTGTGTGTGTGTGTGTGTGTAAGACAAAGTTTACACACACACACACACACACCAAAGAAGAAGAAACCTGGTGTCTTCGAGAACTCTTGGTACATATTTTTTATCAACATTTGCATTATATGATTTTCAAGCCAAAAATAAATATTGCTTCTGGAGAAATATTAAATAAATTGATTATATATTTCACTGACTCGTATAAGAAATGTTCTGGTGGTGACATTAATGAAACGTAATGACGTGGAGCCGAAGAGCGAAAACAATTATACACTGGATGATTCTTTCTGCTTTACTCGGTCAACAAGGAGGGGAAAATAGTGAAGTTTTGCAAATTTCAGTAGACGAGGGCGGCAGTATAGTCCAGTCGCTGATGGATATGTACTTTCATCAACTAGTGTACGTTCAAATAATGAGAGCAAGAGAGAGAGAAAGAGGGAGGGAGGGAGAGAGAGAGAGAGGGAACCTACTGGTGGTTAAGCTCGTGGGTGTAGGTTCAGGGGGTGCGGCTTCAGGAAAGTGGGTCGGGGGGGTGGGGGGGAAGAAATGGTGGGAGGGGATGGGGGTAAAAGTGAGAGTGAGAGGTGACAAGTGAACTGGAAATGGTGAGGCACCGTCGGCACCTCTCAGGGAGTGGTGACAGAAAATGCGTCTTTTTCACTCGCCCTGTCTTGATCATATTCTTACACGAACATGATGATAAAATATTGATATTCTCATGTGAGAATGACTTACGAGGACTATCGTTACGTTAATATATTAATTATATAGTAATATTATTTTAACAAGAACATGACGATTATGAATTCAGTTATCACGAGAATATGATAGTTAACTCATTTTCAGGCGAACATGATAAATATTTATGGAAATATTCTCCAGCGACTTAAAACGATCATATGTTAAGGGAACAATGATTATTATTTTCAGCCGAGTATGACGCGTGAGAGTAATATTCACATACGAGTTTCTTAGACTTTTACCTCCTCAGTCGGTGTTCAGCAAGGAGGGATACTGTTACCACTCCTCACATATAATGATAATTTTTATTTTAGATATCTTTTGATTATCAGAAATGCACTTAATATTTTTTAGCCTTTTATTACAAATTTATAATTATTGAATGTGAACGGTTTTGAGAAGATTTTTTTTTTTTACGGAGTTTGGACATTTAAGTGACACTTCGACGGTGTGAGTTCTTGAAGTGTTGAAGTATAAATGTTCCTTTAGAAATTTTACTGAAAGTTTTCACAAATTATTTGGAAACGTTGAGGATTTTTAGCACGACTGAATCTTGGGATATATTCATGTATACGAGGTGAATTATGTCAGGTTGTTTACTCTAAAGACCGTCCGGAGCGAGAGAGACTTGGAGGCCCCAGCGGCTGGTGACTCCAACTCTCTATAGGTAAGGATCCGTCCCTGCCTATTCTCACTGAGTGTCGCATTTATGGAGGCGAGGCGATGGTTCATTTTCTCCTGAGGCAACGAGACACTTGTAACAGTCTTCGTCGAGATAAGGACCAAGAGACGATCACCAGCGCCAAAATATTAGGTTCCGTTGCAAGTCGACACAATTTTTCTTCAACAATATAGCACTATGAAGGGGGCACCATGACACTGAATTCCACCGTTGTGTGTATCTTTTACATGCCACTGAGACGTCCCGTACCCACTACTACTTACCAATCCCAAGAAGGGCAAGCGTTAGTACCGCAATTCGTAATCTGGTCATGATGACTCCCGGCCAGACCGTGCACTGAGAAGAGTTGCCGCCGCTCCCGCCTTATATACCCGCGGACCCACCTCGCCACTCTCACGACGACAGCCCACCGCCAGGACAACACCCGCGCCATCCCTCCAGGACAACACCCGCGCCATCGATCCAAGACAACACCCGCGCCATCCCCCCAGGACAACACCCCAGTCATCCCTCCAGGACAATACCCCCGCCATATCGCCAGGACAACACCCGCGCCATCCCGCCAGCGCGCCATCCTCCAGGACAACACTCCGCGCCATCCCTCCAGGACAACAACCCGCGCCATCCCTCCAGGACAGCGCCATCCCTCCAGGAAAACACCAAAGCCATCCTTCCAGGACAACACCAAGCCATCCTCCAGGACAACACTTGCACCTACCCTCCAGGACAACACCTGCACCTCCCCTCCAGGACAACACCTGCACCTACCCTCCAGGACAACACCTGCGCCTCCCTCTAGGACAACACCTGCCACCCATCCAGGACAACACCTGCACCACTCCAGGACAACATCTGCACTCCTGGCAAATACAATACCTGCACCACTCCAGACAACACCTGCACCTCCCATCCAGGACAGCACCTGAACCTCCCTCCAGGACAACACTGCACCTCCCATCCAGGACAGCACCTGTACCACCCATCCAGGACAACACCTGTACCACCCTCCAGGACAACACCTGTACCACCCTCCAGAACAACACCTGCACCACCCTCCAGGATAACACCTGCACCACCCCCTCCAGGACAACACCTGCACCTTCCCTCCAGGACAACACTCCACACCACCCTCCTCCCGGACAACACCTGCACCTTCCCTCCAGGAAAACGCCTGCACCACCCATCCAGGACAACACCTGCACCTCTCCTCCAGGACAACACCTGCACCTCACATCCAGGACAACACTGCACCACCCCTCTAGGACAACATCTGTACCACCCCTCCAGAACAACACCTGCACCACCCCTCCAGGATAACACCTGCACCACCCCTCCAGGACAACACCTGCACCTTCCCTCCAGGACAACACTTACTCAACCACGCCAGGACAACACTCATACTTTCCCACCAGGACAAAAAACATTTCCTCGCACCTCCCATCCAGGACAATATCACCAGACTCCCATGACAATCTTACCAAGCTTCCAGGGTCACGTGTATAGGTACTTCCGCCTTACCTGTATAACTACTCATTAAGAAACCAGTACTGTTTATCTGGCCTCATTTTATTATATCAACTGGTACATTTAACCCTGATTGATGTTTGTTTTTGTGAGTGGTTAACATCACCTGGTTAATCGATCCAAAAGCACACGTAGGAGATTGTTTTTGCTGCCTCAGTATGCTGCAGCCCTGCCGCTTGCTTCAATGACGTCATAGCAGTAACACGCGCTTGGGAAATACAGAGTTATAATTGGTCAGTATGTGTGTGTGGTTACTTATACAAAAGACCAATTGTGTTTAATTATGTGGTTATAGATTAGAATATAGTTAACGTGTTTACTTAACATTTAGAGTACAGTAGGTTAACTCTCGGTCTAGTTTAGTCAAGGTCTTGTTCTTGTACCTTGTAGTACTTATTGGTATATAATCAAGTACATCTGTTGATATTATTAGTCATAACATACAGGTACATCGTTATACGGATGCACTAAGTCACATCGGTGTATCAAAATGGCTATTAGATTCTACGTGATCTCTGTGTTTTGTGTAGTATCAGGCTGTGTCAAGTGTTACATAGACTTGTTGAGAATTACAGTTTAATAAGTGTATTACTGCCACGACTCTAACCTTGACGGGGAGTTTCTCTTTATATCAGTTTTCTTCTTATATTTTATCTCTGTTTTTGTTTTGTGGTCTTATGGGAGTTCTACATGTTATTATTTACGTGTGTGTGTGTGTGTGTGTGTGTGTGTGTGTGTGTGTGTGTGTGTGTGTGTGTGTTATGTAGGTAAATAATTTGTGACAAGAGTTAAAATTGAATAGTTTTTTTTTATAATTTTTTTTTTTATTGTGTTAGTTGGGATATTCTGGTAATGTATAAATTTTGTGAAGGCGTCAGACAATGAGATACAGTTGAAGAGAAGTTATGATGAGTTACTGTACACTTTCTCTCCCTGTAATCATCATCTGTGTTGTCTGATTATAATGAGAAATAAAACCAAGGAACGAGAGATTTATTTCAATTCATCTAAAAAAGTGGGATTATTTTGGTTATTTTTCACATTTCCAAGATTTTTTTTCCTCTTATAAGTTCTAAGCTTTAATATAATATGACTTACGTGGAAAGAAGGTGAGGAAAATTTGACATAAGGATTAGTAGCAGTAGATCTCTAGTGAGGGAACTTGTCAAGCTGGTGAACGAGGTAGTCAGATGGGTTACCGGTGTGACGTCACGCAGTAATGACGGGAGCGGCGCAAACCCAACACTTACTCTGAGCAGTTGTTACCCGTGGCAGATGTTTTAGTGTATGTTTGGTTTTTTCCCCGAGGAGCAACAGGTGTAGTAGCTTGTATCTTTTGATTTATATTAGTAATGTATATCTCAGGTTCATTAGTATAGAATTAAAAATAAACTGAGCACATTTTTTATTTATTTATTTATTTATTTTTCAAAGAATTCGATATACAAAGTAGTATCTAGTCTCATCTTTTTCTTTGGTAAAACTCCATAAAAGCTGCCATGTTATCAGAACTATCCCCGCACCTGCCAGAAGACTCATGTCACTCTACTCCTTCCTGTTGTGTTAATACTCTTAACTATTTTGTAAACTCTCTCTTATTAACTCTCAGTCAGTTTATTAAGGTTCACAGTTAACACGACACAAGTGATATCCTGGTCCCAGAGGCCCATCATTAACTTCTGTATAAACACACTATTAAAAACAATACCGTGCTCATTCCAGGACTGCGTTACACTTACCGTCCCTTATTTTCTGAAACCCAAGACGAAGAATTTGGGTAAAGTTTCCCGTTTAGACTTGAAGCTTGGGTCTCACTTTACTCAAATTCTTCATCATGAGTTTCAGAACATAACGCTAGAGGGGGTTGGCTTTTTTTCTTTGACTGCTCCTTTTTTTTTGGAGGGGGGGGGAAGGTTATGGGAGGTCATGAGGTCACGGCGTCATACATGAAGGCTACTGCTGTCAGGAATATTATACGTCTCATCGCAAAACAATGTTGACTCATCCAATCATACAATTCTGGATAGATCGATTTGAATTGAGTAAATATCATCATCATCTTCATCATCATCATCATCATCATCACCACGACTCATAGACGTACGTGGGGGGAGGGGGTAATGCAGAGGTCAGGTGGTTAGGTTAAAGGTCACGATCACTGTTGCTGCAAACACTAATTAACCAACGCAACTCACATTACAATATTATTAGATGGAAGGATTTTTTTGGGGATACAATCACAGAAGGGGTCACACAGGGTGGTACTCGAGGTCACAGGAGGTGGTCACAGAGGATGGTCACACAGGGTCACGGAAAGGGTTAAAGAGGGGGTCACAAGGGGTCAGATTTCTCTTTATTAGTTAGAAACAAGAGAACAATGCCCCAAAACTGTTTCTCTTGTTATCACTGAGATAAACGTAAGATAGCGAAGAGTGAAATAAAGATAGCGATTTGAATTCGTTGATAGCAGCCAATTAGTATCATGATGGACTCTTGATACTCACCTATGAACCTAACCTAACCTGACCTGACCTGACCTGACCTGACCTAACCTAACCTAACCTAACAAAAGCACCGCCCATTGAGACTACCCACGTACACACACTAATCACGTACAGGAAATAGTAGAAATTGGTTTGATGGGAGTAACTCTCTCCCTCACGAGTGTTTGAGTTAACATTTGACTTCCTATAGTTAGTGTTATTATATGTGGGAATTAACAACCACAATAACAAACATAGTAAGAAAATAACAAAAAGATAAAAACAAATACAATAAAAACAAACACAATAAGACAATAACAAACACAATAAATAAAATAACATAGACATTAAAAAAGTAAGAAACATAATCGAAAATAACAAATACATTAAGGAAAATAACAAAAAGAAAACAATAACAAACACAATAAAATAAACTAGGAAAAAATATGAAAAATATAATAATATTCTCGACACACAATCAGGTAAACTAATTAATAGACGACAATGAATTATCAGTTGCTATTAAGAGGGAGAGAGAGAGAGAGAGAGAGAGAGAGAGAGAGAGAGAGAGAGAGAGAGAGAGCATACGAAATAGATATGTAATGAATAAGTGAAAGTTAGGGTATGAAATCAATAGAAAGTAAACATTTAAAATTAAATAAAAGAAAGTTAGGGTTTGGAATCAATTTAAAAAAAATATGAAGTAAAGGAAGAGAAAGCTCCAATTTGACGTTAGTGAAAAGAAAGCGAACACAAAAGGTTAATGAGCGAATGTTAATATATGGAACCAAGTTAATAACCATTGTGTGTGTGTGTGTGTGTGTGTGTGTGTGTGTGTGTGTGTGCGTGTGTGCGTGTGCGTGCGTGTGCGTGTGTGTGCGTGTGTGTGTGTGCGTGTGCGTGTGTGCGTGTGTGTGTCAAAACGTGAAAATAATGTTGTTTTAAAGTATAATAAGGAGTAAATCAGTACAGCGTTGAAAGACAAACACTCATAGTTGTTTCTGCTTCAACCAGTGAGAGTAACTAGGGAATCGGTCAGTAACTACGACATGGATAGAGCTATTGACGCAGCTACTTATAAACAGTATGCAGTCAGTCTGTACAATATCACGGCCTTAAAACATACATGTATATTTATGTATATATTAGATATCAAGTGAAGGAGAGAGACTTATCAGTGGTAAGACTTCGTTTTACTGGATATGGGGATTTCAATGCATTCGTCAGCACTGAACTTATGAATCTGGGACGATATTTTTTGGCTACTCTAATGAATTAAACTATAGAGGCATTTTTTCACTTATTTCCTCATTTTTGCATCTGATTTTCATATATTTACTTGTTTGTATATTTAGCTATGTATTGTTGCATTATATATCCCTCT